GAGACAATACACGACATTTCCTAAACCTAATTCAATGGGCACAAAAAACCCAACAACAGGGCATACTACTAGCACTCGATGCTGAAAAGGCCTTTGATCGCCTAAACTGGTCTTATATGTCAGCAGTACTGACCAAAATGGGGTTTCCACCCCCGTTCCAAAAGAGCATATCGGCCCTATATTCTAACCCCTCGGCTAAGGTATATAACACCGGCTTTCTCTCCAAGTCCTTCCCAATAACCAATGGAACCAGGCAAGGTTGCCCTCTCTCTCCGCTGATATTTATCCTCTGCCTGGAGCCACTGGTTAAACATATCAAATCACTAGACACGGTTCAGGGATTACACACACCGATAGGAACTATGAAAATTGCTTTATTTGCGGATGACATCCTGCTCTTCATCACTGATCCTTCCAATTCCCTTCCAAATTTACTGGCGCTTCTGGATAGATATGGCAAGGTGTCATACTATAAAAACAATGCGAAAAAATCGCAAGCATTAGCAATCCGTTTGCCACACCACACATTACAAACCCTTAAGTCTGAATATCCATTCGATTGGCGTAAAACCTCGATCTCGTACCTCGGTATCCAATTACCGGCCACATCCACATTAGTCACTAAAGTGAATCATATCCTGCTTCTGCAAAAACTAGATCTCCAACTCACACAATGGGACGATAAAGGAATCTCGTGGCTGGGGCGCATTAATACGGTTAAGATGATGATCTTGCCACACATCTTATACCTCTTCCGTACACCTCCGATAGAGGTCCCAAACGCGATAGTGAAAAGATTCCAATCGATCACAAACGCATATATCTGGAAGAGAAAACCTCCCCGAATCTCAAATAAATTGATCTGGAGACCCCTTTCGGAAGGAGGCCTTAGCGTACCCAATGTCCAGCTCTATTACAAAGCATCAATACTGGCACAGGGCCTCACGGTAATGGAAGGTAGGGCATCCCCCATCTGGCTGGCACTAGAAAATGCCTGCATGGCAAAAGGAACGGTAGTGGATGCCCTTTGGGCATGCGCGGACCGGCAGGTACAGGACACTAATATCCTACCCCCGACAAAACTACTGCTCCGTATATGGAGACAGTCAATCCTAAAACTGGAAATAGGTAGAGACCTCCTACACGCCGCGCCCTTACAATCACTAACACTCAACACACATGATGTGTGCCGTGATACTTGGGTTCGACAGGGTATTCTCCATGTGAGCTCCCTGATCGATGATGCGGGAGTGACATCCTTTCCAACACTACAACAGATGTTCAGCCTCCCGCTTAGGGAACTATTCACATACCTACGCATTAAAAACATCCTACACTATCACAAACTACATAGAGGCAGACAGTTCCCACCACCACGATTTCTCCTTAAGTGCCAAGGAAAACTGAAGGACATAAAAGCATTATCCTTTTGTTACACATCACTCATGACCCTAGTAGATAAGGAAATCCCCTCTTATATGAGCGCATGGGAGAAGGATCTCAATACACAAATTAGCCTAGATATGTGGCGGAAAGCTCTGGGCAGGTTGAAGAAAACCACATATAGCCTGGCTCACAGAGAGGCGTTTTGTAAAATACTAATGAGATGGTATATGGTACCTTCGCGCCTAGGGCATATCTACCCCACTGCCTCCCCCATGTGCTGGAGATGCCATAACAATGAAGGCACACTTCTTCATATTTTTTGGACATGCCCAAAAATAGGTGCATTCTGGAACGCAATAGAACAGTTCCTCTAAGAAGAGATGAAAATAACAATGCCGAAATCCCCAGAATGCTACCTGCTTCACATTTTCCCACACTCACCCAGGGAAGATGAAGTACACATACTCACTCATTGTCTACTTGCGGCCAAAATAGCAATAGCATACAGATGGAAACAACAGCAAAGCCTGAAATTAACAGAAGTCCTAACACGCCTTGACACAACATGCAACTTTGAACGAATGGCCAGCCGCCTTCGAAGTAAAGAACATATCTATACCAGGCACTGGCAACGCTGGGCCCAGTTTAGAGATCAACCAGAGAGCTAGAGACTAACTCTAATACCCCTTTAGGACCTCGGTAGACCCACACCATACCGCAGATCCCCATGCTCACCTACACAACCTCACTCAACTGTCTATTCATAAGGGCAGGAGTCTAATCTAAAAAACAGGCCAGATGAAGAGGCAGTTGACATCCTGGGCACACGAACGGTGAATAAATAAAATACCCCATGGAAGAAATTAATCTGGGAATATATCATACTATGCTGACGAGCCGTACTAGCTAAGTCTCGGGTACCACGTTTTGGTTTGCCTGACTATGGCTCTTTAGTACAGCAGATACACTCCCACCAATAGATTGACACAGGTAGCACATGTTGATATGGAATAAAACTAGCCAAATCATAATCCACCACGACCCAAGCCCCATCGAAGGGTTACAATACCTATCATACACTGCCCATCTCCTACGCTAATATACATGCACTATTCGTATCTTGTATCTCATATGTGTAATTTGTATCTTGAATTCTGTACCTTGATTCTGTACTTTGAATCTGTAATGCAATCTTTGACCTGCGATGTCAAGAAACCTGTAAAGATCTATATATTACCCGCTCCCCCTTCCCTTTTATTTTCTGTACCCCCCACCCCCCTTGTGTTATCTTTCTGAACTGTTGATTATGAAGCAAACGAAAAACATATCAATAAAAACTTAAGACATTTAAAAAAAAAAAAAGAAGTCCATACTTTTTTAATATATTTATTTTATGAGAACATTTTGCAAGAGCCAATTACCTTGCATTATATATATTATGGCCCTAACTTACACTCATAAATCAGCCTGTACGTAGTGCTAGTAAATAGATTTGGTCTTTTTTCTGGCCAAAAACCATTGATGTATTTCAACAACAGCAGAATTAAAGGGACACTATAGTCACCTGAACAACTTTAGCTTAATGAAGCAGTTTTGGTGTATAGAACATGCCCCTGCAGCCTCACTGCTCAATCCTCTGCTATTTAGGAGTTAAATCCCTTTGTTTATGAACTCTAGTCACATCTCCCTGCATGTGACTTGCACAGCCTTCCATAAACACTTACTGTAAAGAGAGCCTTATTTAGGCTTTCTTTATTGCAAGTTCTGTTTAATTAAGATTTTCTTATCCCCTGCTATGTTAATAGCTTGCTAGACCCTGTAAGAGCCTCCTGTATGTGATTAAAGTTCAATTTAGAGATTGAGATACAATTATTTAATGTAAATTACATCTGTTTGAAAGTGAAACCAGGTTTTTTTTCATGCAGGCTCTGTCAATCATAACCAGGGGAGGTGTGGCTAGAGCTGCATAAACAGAAACAAAGTTATTTAACTCCTAAATGACAGTGAATTGAGCAGTGAAATTGCAAGGGAATGATATCTACACTAAAACTGCTTTATTTAGCTGAAGTAATTTAGGTGACTATAGTGTTCCTTTAACATAAGTGTTAACTAATAAATCAAGGAATATGTGGTTGAATGCAATGTATGTGGCATGTGCAAAATCTATCTGTAATGTATTGCTTTATCTCCTTCTTCTTTTAGTATCTATCCACTTTTTTCTCTATGTTACCTTTATTCTGTAAGCTTGTGTTCCAATTTGCTCAACAGGATACAAAGACAAAGTACATGAGGTTAACCAAGTAATTGTATTTTCCTTTCAAGTTGTATTGATTCTCATTGGTAAATGCATTCACTAAGGCATTAGCTGTCAGTTTAAAAAATATATATTTATAACATGGCCATATTTATCATACATTGTTACATATCTCACATGCTAAGCTAACTGTTGTAACAGGGATTATACAATGGCAAGTGGTGAAGACAGAGGGACACTAAATGCCATTATTGGTATTTTTCTCTATCCTCTATCTCTTTTATTGTGTTCAATTACATTTAAAAAAAGTTAAATGTTTCCCCTAATATTGCAGACAATCCATTATCAAGCAGTGATGGCATAACATTTCCCCTGTTGCACTAAGTAAGCTGCGTGAGAGTGAAGGAAGGTTTTGAACTTCTACAGTAGGCTATCCATTAGACACCAGTGAAGCTATTCTCCTGCAGTAAAATGAGTTGGTGTGTATACCTTGAAAATGTGCATCTGAGTAAGGAAACCCGAGAGTTTTGATGACAGCCTTGGATTTATCAATCAAAACATCAGAATTAATAACTAATGTTAGAAAGCACTCCATATAAAGGCAGCACTTTGGATCTTTTAATAAACTATAACTAATACTTCACTTTTGTTAATCTGTAAGTAAATTTCACATCGCAGGAGTTCACATGGGTGATGAGTGTTTTTAGAATTCAGCATCTAGAGAGTTTAACACATTTCTTAAGTGTCACTTACTCATAAACAGTCCTTGGGAAAAAAAAGATGTTCCTATTCTCTTGTGTTTCCCATAACTAACCACTTGTGGATACACTAGATTTGAAAACTGCAGCTTACCTACAGTCACCACCCTATCTGAAAGAATATGATTAATTTTACAAATTATGTTCAGCTATTGCAGAATTCAGATGACCACAGTTGTCAAAGATGTATAAGTGTAATTGTACCAATAGGCTGTGCTACTTAGCAGTGACTCAGGTAATAAATACTTATGAAACCAACAAATGTACATTTTCTTTTTTATTAAATTATGTTTCACAATAAGTAATGTGTATTTTGTGGAGACCAGATTGGAAAAATTAGACTTGTGCATGGCAGAGAACTGCAGAATGGACACATTTTCATTCGGACAACTGAATTTCAACAACGAGGTATTTCAACTTGTCCAAAAAATGATTCGGGAAAAAACATCAGGGTTAGTGGTTTTACACACAATGCACATTTTACACTTACAGAAACCTTTAATTTGTGGGAAAAAAGATATGGGAGGGTTTTTTTTAGTTTCTCTTGTAAAATTATTGGTTAATATAGATTTAAAATTTTGGGCACCCCTAAATATAATATTCGGACGTTCCGGTATAATTTTGTTTAATATTTCGTCTTGTTCTAAAACAAGACGAAATATTAAACAAAATTATATCGGAACGTCCGAATATTATATTCTAAAACAAGACGAAATATTAAACAAAATTATACCGGAACGTCCCGAATATTATATTTAGGGGTGCCCAAAATTTTAAAAGAAATGGAGTGGGTTTATAAACTTCAATCCCTTGCACCTCATGGTTTAAATGTTCATTTTGATTTGTTTAATTTTTTATAAATGAATGTTCATTCTTGCTATATTTAATATTTTAAACTTTATTATTTATATTTTATACCTTTTATTATTCATGCCTCTACTATTACTAATATTCATTTTTTAGTCACCATGCCTGCTCTCACTATTTTAGTGGACCAGGCATGGTGTTGATTTTAATTATTTACTTTTAACATATTTTATTTATTCATATCTTCTCATCCTACTCCAGCCGGCCGCAGCTCTTGTGCGAGCCGACTTGTTTATTTCATTCCCATGACGACGGCTACAGCTTCGTGTTAGCCGTCGTCTACTCATACCCCCCTTCCTGATGACGACGGCCGCAGTCTCATGCGTGCCGCTGTCATCAGTATCACCGCCCCCTTTTCCGACGTCAGCCGCATCACGTGCGTGCTGACGTCTACCTCTACGCCCACTGGCGTCAGCCGCATCCCTCTTGCGAGCTGACGCCAATTGCCCGCCCCTTTTCATGACGCCGGCGGCTGCGCAGTGCCTGCCGGCGTCATACTACATGTCCCATAACCCCCCTCGGTCATAATGCCGGTCATGTGACCGTGCATCATTATACCTATTTTATCTTATGTATAGTTCGTTTTCAATATAAAATTAGATTTTTTAAATATTTATTCTAACCTTGTTTTATATGTATCATACTACACTTGTTTTAATCATGTTTTAACATATGTATTCTCACTTGAATTCTGATTGGCTGCCCAAATTTTGGTGCCAATTTTTGAATGTCTGTATATGTTATTTAAAGGATCCACTGCCAGGTATCAGGTTCTTTACCCATATTGATAACGCCGATTGGCGAAACGCGCTTATGGTTTTTATATTGTGTAATTTTAAATATTAAAGTATATTTGGTAACCTTTTATCGTACCATTTATCTTTTTATACACATATATTTATTATTGTTACCTGGCATCATTCCTTTTTATTCGCTGTACTCCAAGAAATCCTAGGTGGGGATCATACCACCAACGCGAACTACCAGGAGCAGTTGATCTGCTCCTGTCTTGTGAGTATCCACTTTTATTTCATATATTTTATTCAAAGTTTTACGCAGAGAACACTATTGGCTGTCTCTTTTTATTCAAGTGTCTTTCATACTACGGAAGGAGGAAGTACGCGAAGGAAAGCCATTCCATATCCTACAAGCGGGGATCTAAACCACTGTATGCCCTTTATACCAGAGCGGGTTTTAGCTCTTTTAAATGTGAGTTTGCAATCAAGTTTTACATTTCAACTTCCTTTTTATTCAAGATATACTACACTATTTTGGCTCTGTATTTGTTCTTATTTCTTGCATATGAGACTATCCATAAGGAAGATAATAAGCAAGACTACTGTTTTGGACCAAGTACCATTACATAATACGATTTCAACGAACATTGCCAGATAAGACTTTTTCCTTTTATCCATTGATTTTATCTGGACTTTTCGTATTATTTAAAGTTTTATCCAAGCACAGCCCTTTCCTGTATTTTTTATATTTCACTGACATGACTTTTTTTTATTAGATTTGTGCATTTGGTTATAAATTAACTGGGATTAATCTGAAATGTGGTCATTTTGTGGGTTATCAGAATTTTCAATGCATTTTACTATTCTCCCTATTCAAACACTACAGCACCTATATACACACTCTGTACAGCACCTACCCCACACACAAAATCTAAAGTATCAGGGGAGTCACATAGGCCCACAAATACAACCTCTAGCTTCTCAATAACTTCTGATGTCATTGCAACTCCTTCTACCACGGCTAGTTCAGGAGTTACATCCTGTGTTTTATGATACATACATATATATTACAAATCACATGCATTAAGTGAAACAATGTTTTAAGTAAAAATGTTCAGCCTTTTACACACACACACTCACAGTGATTAATAAACGCAGTCATTGGCACACACACTGTTTAACCAACAGTGCCATAGATACATTGACACACGCACTCACTGACAGACACACATTCTCATTGATAGACACATACTCTTGCTAATACACACTGACAGACACACACACACACACACACACACACTCTCACTGATACTGACATACCTTTACTCACTGACAGACTCACACTCTCACAGATACTGTCACACTCACTAACACACATACTCTCACACACACATTCTCTCATACACACTACCAAATTTATTTTTACAGTGTTTATTTTTTTTAATGGCCCATACAGCCTCCCTACCTTTGGGAGAGCTGGTGTAGATATTCTCTCTAGGCCATTGGCAGAACATCACATGTTGCAAAAGTCAGCACTACAACTGTGCCCTCTTTATTCCTCTTGCACACCCCTGGGGTCTAGTGGGTTTGACACAAGTTCTTAGAGGGGCCTGTTTGCCAGGCTCCTACCCTGTGACTATGGCCCCTGTGATCAGCCTTGGTTAAAACCACTGTTTGTGTCCTTTTGGACTTATAACAGGAACACTTTGAACTTTCGAAGCAGCACTTCGAACTCCCGAACGGTCAAAGCTGTTCAAATCGGCATTTGAACACGTGGCAGCGGCCATCTTAAGCCGCGAGTAAAATGAACGGTGATTGGTCGTCGAGTTCATGGAACTCAAATTGGACACTTGACGGCACCAACGCCGCTGACTATTTACCTTCCACGGATGTTCAGCTATTCAAATGGGAGTCGAACGGTGTTCGGTATTTTATATTGAACTTCGAGTCCCTGATGTAGACCGATTCTCTGGAATTGTTTTGGGCATGTGACCATGAGTGCGGTCGGTCAAAATATTACTTCCATAAAATTCCTGAACACTTGAAATGATCTAGGTTATTTTTGGACATGTTGGTCACCCAGATCAGAACTTTATTATGTGTTTTGGGGTACATTTGGGTCTTTATAGAAATGTGTATTTTTTCTGCCTGGAGATAATTGGGTTAATACAGTATCTGACTCAATTATCTCCCAAGCAGAGGGGAGGGATTGTTTGCTGTGTGTGGGAGTGTCGTGCCTTGTAACCTTATTGTCATTGTTTTTTGACTTTGTGCTGCAGTCCCCCACAAGGTCCAGGGAGGAGTGTCCCTTGCATGGGGACATGCATATAAGGCCAGTTGTGGCTGCCATTAAAGCATTCCAGCTTGTACTCCAAAACTGTGTGTCATCCTGTTATTGGAGGGAAAGAAGATTTACTCCTGTGTCTACTGTAAGGACTAGAGCTCCCAGAACTGAGTGTCGTCCAGTGCCTGGGGGTACCTGGGGGTGCCTAAAGCTAATTCCCCATTCGGCTCCAGGAAGAAGCGGTTCCAGGACCTCAGTCAAGCCATGGTGACTGTGGTCAGCAGTGCTGCAGTTTGTCCCGTTTCAGCTAGGAAGCGGTCATTGGCGGAGGTAACCAGCCGGGGTACAGGGAGCTCCGTCACACTCTGATCCTCCTCCTTTTCCAGCACTGCTCCCAATGTTGTTGGCAAAGTGACCCATACAACCACACATACTGACCCATACAATCCCACATACTGACCCATGCAGACACACAATGACCCATACAGACATACAATGACCCATACAGACACACAATGACCCATACAACCACACATATTGTCCCATAGAGACACACTCTGACACATGCAGACACACTGACCAATAGAGACACACACTGACCCATACAAACACACAATGACTCATACAGACATAAACTGACCCATTCAGATACACACTAACCCATGCAGACACACAATGACCCATGCAGGCACACAATGATCCATACTACCACACATACTAACCAATACATCCACACATACTGACCCATGTGGCACACACTGACCCATGCAGACACATACTGACCCACACAGACACACAATGACCCATACAGACACACAATAACCCATACAGACACACACTGATGCATACAGTCACACACTGACCCATACAGACACACTATGACCCATGCAGACACACATACTGACCCATACAGAAACACACTGTCCCCTACAGAGACACACTGACCCATACAGAGACACACTAACCCATGCAGACACACACACTGGCCCATGCATACACACTGACCCATGCAGACACACAATGACTCATACAGACACACAATGATCCATACAGAAACACACTGACCCATACAGACACACAATGAGCCATACAGACACACATACTGACCCATACAGACACATAATGATCCATACAGACACACACTAACCCATAGAGACACACACCTACCCATACAACCACAAATAGTGAACTATACAGACACACACTGACAAATGCAGATACACACTGACCCATAGAGACACACACTGATCCATACAGACACACACTGACCCATATAGACACACAATGATGCATACAGACACACACTGACATATACAGACACACAATGACCCATGCAGACACACACTGACCTATACAGAAACACAATGATCCATACAGACATACTAACCCATGCAGACACACAATGACCCATACAGACACACAATGAACCATTAAGACACACACACACTGACCCATACAGACACACACACTGACCCATGCAGACTGACATGCACAAACATACTGACTGAAGCAGACTAACACACATTCTTTGTTGCTGTTCCTATGTCCATCTTGCCTACGCCTGGAGGCCCATCATTTCCTTTTTCAGCCACATTTTCTGATATGCTCCCGCCCACTGTCCCCACGTACAAGGGAAGGGCTGGGAGCAAGCAATTAAAGCGCCCTCATGCTGCTGACGCAGTGGATGTCTGGGAGGGGTTCCTGGCTCTGAGTGCTGATGTGGATGCCGCCGGACCGGTAGTCTACTGGACACTAGTGAGTAGCAATGCTCCCTAGCACCTGGTAACATGGCCAGCAGCA